TTGGCTTCGTCTTTGCTCTTGAGAAAATATACAGTGCGGAAGCCAGTACCATCGTCTTTCAAGAGTAAGAAATATTGAGCTCCTCCCAGGGATGCAACAGGCATTTTTCCGGCTAAGTCCATATGGACCATTTCTCCTGGTTTTATCGTTGCATTTCTTGTTGCGGCTGGAAATGGCTTTCGAGATTGCTTCCCAATCTCACAGTCTTCACACATAATTTTATGTGACACGGCCTCCAGGTCAATTCCACGAACTGCGTCTTTCTTGATGGAGTCCAGCACATAGTTCATATTAATGTGTGTCAAGCGTTGATGCCATAGTTTAGCATTAGTCACGGGATGCATGTATGCAGCAATAATTTGTGAAGTGCGACGAAACTTCATGACATACATATCAATCTTGAACTCGGCAATTGGCCCCTTAAACCGTCCATCCTGATAAAATGTTGTTCCATTCTTGTCACGGACGATGGAGTACCCTTTCTTAGCCATTGATCCCTCAGAAAAAAGGTTGACAGCCCCTTGTATGTACAACACGTTATCTATGGTACATTCCTCCCATATGCCGTTGATGTAAGCGTCAAGTGTCACTGTCCCTTTTCCTAGTGCTTGTGTAGCCCTTTTGTCCGTTAGGAAGACTGACTTGGGAGTGTCAAACTCTTCATATCTTGTAAACCATGCCTTATCTCCACAGACATGCTGGTTAGCTCCAGAATCGCTTAGCCACACTTGTTCAGTCACGGGTGCTTGCATGGGGGTTTGTATTGCATTTAGCATGAACGCTTTCCCAGGGCTTCTATTGGCTTGTGCGGGATTATCTGAAGGTTTATTGCTCTGATTTTGTGGATTACTCCTGCATTCCCTTTTCCAGTAGCCCTTTTTCCCACACCCATGGCAGGTTGTTGCCTTTTTCAACTCTTCAATGCTCTGTTTCTTCTTGCCTTTCTTCTGGTCATGGGTCAAGAATGCCTTTGCTGCATCTTGATTGGTTGCTGCTGGTTTGGATTCCTTCCTCTCCAACTCCTCCTTCTTCAGACGGGCAAGTAGCATTATCATGCTCTGGTCCTTATACGGAACGCATTATACTCCTCGTCGGGGAGACTTGAGACAACCTTTGTGATAATGGATGCTTCAGGCATGACGACTCCCATTTCATTTAGTCTTCTGCCCAGCTCTTCCACCTCTGCAAATGCTTCAATCAATGACTGACTCTTGCCAATTTTGTAATTGAAGAATCTAGCCATGGTATGTTGCTTGTTAAGCGAGCTTGAATCTGAATTGATGCTTTTCAGCTTGTCAAACATTGCTTTTGATGTAGCGCAGTCATAAATATGATTTGTTTGAGTGGCACTGAGAGTGGGGACAATGATGGATTGTGCTTGTATATCCTTCTTATCCCATGCTGGCTGTTGTGCTTCATCTGCAGGTCGTTGGGTAGTGCCGTTGACCACTTCCCACAGGTCATGTGACTTGAGAAGTAAAGTTATCTGAAGTCTCCACCTCGCGTAATTGGTGTCGTCTAGCTTGACAATGTGCGTAACATCTATTCTTTTGATTGTTGATGTCATCTTGTCGTTGTGGAGTAGGGAAAGCAGAAGCGAAAAACAGAAATAGACTTGTTACCTTCTCTTTGCCTAATCAAGAGCAGTAGAATCGAAAAAGCTCGAGATTTGGTAGACGGGAACTCAGGATTTGGGTAGAGTGGTCGTCCTCAATAAAACTCGTCCTCGGGCGGAAGGTTCAGCTTCGGGTAGAGTCAAAGGGTTGATGTCTCTTGTCCAAACAATGGTCCAATTCACGGCACACTTTTACAGGCTTACTCCGTCCAGACTGGCACTGGGCAGTGGAGACTTACTGCTATTATTAACTGATGAATTGACCTTTTCACTTCACAACAATAACACTGATCTACTTCAGTTTATCAAGTGTTGAACAGGAAACAGTTCTTCCCGTTGTGAGACTTTAACAGACTCTGAGACTGGGGCACTTTTGCGACACTCAATGAGGCAGGTTGAGACCAACAATATGAATCATACAAACTAACGGCTTTGCTACCATGAAAGTAAAAATGATCTCGCTGGAAGATATTTTTAGACTGATGGTGATTTTTAAGTAGCTTCAGCTACTTTATGTGAAGACTTTGTCTGTCTGTCTGTCTGTCTGTCCGTCTGTCTGTCAGCAGGATATCAGGAGAACGGATCGAGATAATCGAAATCGGTTTTCGCCATCATACATATGACCCCAGGGGGAGGATCCTATCAACTTTTGGGGGCAATCGGACCACACCCCCTTTGGCGACAGGGGGTGTGGTCGGGGCAAAATGAGATTTTTAGTGCAATTTAATCTATAGGTGAAATAGAGTAAAATTATGTGTTCCGGAGTTGTGCCACACCCCCTCGGCGCCAGGGGGTGTGGTTGGGGCAAAATGAGATTTTTAGTGCAATTTAATCTATAGGTGAAATAGAGTAAAATTATGTGTTCCGGAGTTGTGCCACACCCCCTAGGCGCCAGGGGGTGTGGTCGGGGCAAAATGAGATTTTTACAAAAAATTAATCTATAGGTGAAATAGAGTGAAATTAAGTGTTCCCGAGTTGTGGTGGGACCGTTTGGGGTGAAGTACGTCTGAAGCTACTTCCTTATGCGCGTTTGCGACGGTTTATTATTAAACAACTTGGTTTTAAGGTTTTGACAGTACATAGGAGACATTCATACATATGTAACAATATGTGGTCAGAAGTGACCATACAAACTACGCAGAGTTATGCTCAAACGAAGTGTCCCTTCTAATGAGGCATAAAAACAAAAGGACCCTTTTAATCCCTTGTCCTGGAAAAAGGTTGGAAAATGCTCAGCCCTCATAAAAGTCGACAAACTTAAAAATTGATAAATATGGAAAACTTTGTTAACATGCATATTTTAACAGGATCAAGTTTAATTGAACAGTATCCGAAGTAAAGATGCTAAAATTATCGAATTCCATGTAGCATTGTGGTTTCATCTCTTGATCCTTCAATGCATTATCTACATATTACATGAATGCATTAATTACACATTTTAAATTTAAAGCAGTTTGGATCAGCTGCCTGTAAATGTATCTAAACTAATTTATCTATCATAATGAAGCCAAGGTATTAGGAAAAATATTTGCAAATGCTAAAAGTAAAAAAAATATATAAATTGCATATGGCCCTGTGGGGAATTGAACTCGCAATAAGTTTCGACATGCTGAACGAAAAGTCAATCTTTTATCCACTGCTCCATAAACACTAGATTATGAAGCCCACCGTCGAAGTGGACCTTATGCTCAACGTTGGAGGAGTACAGGACACGGGGCACCTTTCTTCCTCCGCTCATAAAAATAGTCCCCACTTTGCATTGTTGTTTTTTCATTGTTTCTGGCCATTGAATAAAAAAAACTGATTGAAACATGGGCATGGGTGTGTGTCACCTTTTGAACAACGTTTCAACGCAATCCACCATTCTGTCAGTGAAGGGTTGTCTTCCTAAGTTCTGGAAAAATTTTCGCAAAACACGAAATTTCACAAAATATTGTCCAGAAAATGAAAATGGATCGAAAATCTTGTGAACCTTCCGGACCGGGGGCAAAAACGCAGTATATCACCATGTGATGACACGGAAATTATTAGAACGGTGAGCATGGTCCTCCTCTGTTCACGCCAAAAATTGCGAGACGTGTTCAAAGTGACCATTGCACTGATGTCCACCTCTATTATAAACAGGCAGATATTCACTCAATTATCGGGAGATTTGGCAAAATAAACACCATAGATTTGTATGAGAAGCCCCAAGTAATCCTTAGATTTGGTAAGGCAAAACTCAGGATGTCCGCTTGTGACAGGAAAAAATTTTGCTTCCTGGATGAGACCAAAATTCAGCTCCCTGGTCCAGACGGAGTGACCAGATTGTGGTGGAAGCAAGACTAAAGTGCGAACAATTGATTTCTGTGGATAATTGTTAAAAATAGAGATATCATGGAAATCTTGGCTGTGGGTACATTTAGTATGTGGTGTGAAACTTTCGAATTCTTGCCGGAATGCAATGGTTTGAGGCAGTTTCCGTTAAAACGGGATAGTAACATTGAAATGTGTCATTGATCTCAAAAAAAAAAAAAAAAAATCGAAACGAAAACGAAACGAAAACGAAAAATCTTCTCAAAATGCTTCGAGGGTAATGGGATAAAGGTGTTTGGTTGGGTTTTTCAATCCCCTGACCTCAATCCGATCTAGCATTTATGGGGAACCCTGAAGCGTCCTGCCGCAGAACGGAAACCGACAAATCCAGCTTCTCTGAAAACCATAGTCACAAAAGAGTGGCGTAAGATCGACCTAAGTGTCACTGATTGATTGGTAGATTCGTGTTTTAGACGAATTCACGCGGGTATTGTCGCTGAAAGGAGGCCAGCAACATATTGAATGGGCTGTTCAGCTGCATCTACAATTTTGTGGCGTGCAATTTGCAATTTTTTGACATTTAAATATCTATAACTTCATCAGTTTTAGCCCAATTCATTTGAAATTTTGCACGAATGTAGTATGAAATATTGCTAATAATTGATCTAAAAACGAATTTGAAATATTAACCTGTTGTGGAGTATTTGTGATTTATATAATGCATGCATGCCTTGCATCTACAATAAAGTGACATACTGTATAGCAAATATTCGTGCAACTTATGTGATAAAGTGACCAGGTCATACATATGCTGGTCTTAGGTTTCACGTCCTGTCAAAACACTCAAACGGGGAGGCACCTTTTTCGTGTGACCAGTGTACTTCAAAAATTGGCTTAAGTGCGATTTTAATCGTCACGTGAGACAGGTGCATGGCGGCGGGGTGAAGAGGCATGCGTGCTACTTTTGTGGAAAGAAATATTCATTTTTTCACTTATTAGTTAACCATTGTCAAAGTCACACACTTGAGAAATGATACATACATACATATGTAATGCGTAATGCTACTTTGATAAAAAAATTGCTGAAACGTATTTCATGTTTATCGGGGCATATATTTTGGTTAGATTTTAGTAGCTGAGATAATTTTTTGCGTTCCAAAATTCTAAACGAACTACAGAAGCAAATATTAAACTACTAAAAATTGTTGTTCAAAATTATTTTTTACACAAATTGTGTTAAAATTTTGCTAGCGAATTTAAGTATTTAAATGTAAAATTTGAAACTTAACACAAAAACATGTTAATTTAAAAAACAAGAAAAATTACAATGAAAACAGTTTGAAATCAATTAAATTTCGTTTATTAGGAGTTCCTTTACCTAATAAAATAACTTTAAAAAAATTAATAAGTCAAAAACACTACGGGCGCCCTCAATGTCGCGGGGCCCCTAGTTTCTGCCTATTGACGTGACTGACATGTCGCCGACCACAGGTGTGATTAGTCTCGTGAAACTCGTAGTTATCCGTGGGCGTCGTTGCCGGGGGAACTGGGCGGTCCAACGGACAGACGTGAAAAACCCGCCTGTATCTCCGATATGCTGTGTCGTACGAGCAAAACACGTAGTCACATGGCATCGTTCCAGGACAATATTTAGCCCGGTCGGTAGCCCCGTTAATTTTGAAATATCCTTCCCCCGAACATGGATAAACTGCCGTGCCAGCGTTACCGTCCCGAGCAGATAACATGGTAATAAAGAGAAGTGTGCAAACCTGGCGGAAATTTTAAAGAACGTCTTTCTGTTATTTTCAAATTTTACACGTATTTAATAAAAACTTACCAGATTTTTTATCATTGTGACTAAGGAACCAATTATGATCAGGATGGTTGCGCAGATTGGAGATAAAATAGTACATGTATGATAGATTATATATACATACCTGAACTGATATACAAAGCATAATGATACTTGATATGTTAAATTAATTGCTAATTGAGGCAGATGGGCACAATTTGTGCATGTGACATCATTTTTCTGGTGATAGACGAATAAATTTCGATATTTGGGTAATTAGTGTTTATTCATGCACACGGAATGTATAGGGCTGATACATACTACATATTTGCATAAATATTCATGACTATCTCGGCAACTATATATGCCAAGGGGCACCGGAGAAATGGGAACAATCTCTCTACAAAGGCTTACATTAAGGTATTATATTTACGAATTGTATATTTATTTCACTAATAAGTACAAATGTATTATCAGATTTATGAATTACTTACTTTGTACCCCAAATAATTTTAGTAATCGAACGAAAAAAGAACGCTGCAAAAAATCTGGTGTACATTTTCGCGGAGTTATTAAATTTATACCTCGCTCCTGGTGAGAATTATCTGTCAAATAAGTAAAACACTTGAGGATATGGTGATTTTTTTTAAATCAAAACTTCGAAACTCATAATTCATCTAGAACTGACGTCGGATGAAAATATGATAACCAATGTATGCATGTCCGTATTCACGGGTTTGATGTGATGAATTTCTTACGGAGAAGCTGTCCACCAAAAATTGCCACTCTACTATTCATGGTTAGTTCAGGTTGGGCTAGGTTATAATTGGTTTGCCTCATGATAGATCCCTTATACGGGCGGATTACGCCATAAATTTTGAAATAATTTGCGACTTTTTCAGGCGTCCCTTTCAACGTAGAAACTTGGCAACTCACCAACACATAGAATAGAATACCCAATCATTACGGATGCCATCGTGGCGCAGCTATGTATTATGCATTAATTTTTGTACTTTGAGACCTATGTTTTGATTATACCATAGGTCTCAAAGTTTTTTTTACTAAATGGATATTTTTCTCCACGGTGGTGGTTAGGATGCAAAAATTTTAGATGAGGGCTGTTTTTCAAGAGGGTTGTTTACAGAATTCAAAAATATCAATTCCCCAAAAATTAATCAAAATTAATACAGGTTTTTTAATAAGTTCTCACGATATTTTCATGTTACCCCCATGTTTTTGATGTGGGGGAGCCAGTATGTGAATAACGCATATATGTTAACGTTCCACATCAGATCGTCTGGTTTCCATGCGACTAGTTTGCTACTGATTTGATTTGCATATTTTATATTGTTTATTGCTCGGTATTAACCAATATAACTCAAATTATAACCAGGATCAGATTAAATCCAATTTTTTAAAAAATAGAGCAGAGCTCCTGGCTAATGAATTATTTAATTGCAGACGCAAACGGTGCGTCCTGAGGTAGTCTGGCAAGATCCACCAGTGCTGTTGAGACAAAAATATCGTTAGTTCTGTATCACTTCAATCGGGCTTTAAAATGTAAAGTAGTACCTTCCCCCATTAATGCATCCTACATTGCAAGCATTTGCGGGTAATTGGCAAACGTGTAGTCCACCCGTGGGTCTTCCAGCCAGGATTTGACCCAAAGGCACGAAGGATGTGCCTAAAAATAGAGGAACAAATTAGATACAACCAAAAGCTGGATAAATTTCTTACTTCCAAAAGGCCAGATTTTGCTCTGTGCTTCTTTGGGCATGGAAGCTTGGGCCGAAACACAGCCTGCAATGATGAAGATGACAAAGATAGATGCTCTATGCATTTCTAAACAGAATTAGACTTTCAGTTTTCAAGTTAAAAGAAACTGTGATGCTGATAATTTATGTTCTTGTGTCAGGTCCATTTTATACCAGTCTGTTAACCGTAACCTTGTCGTTTCAAGCTAACGTAACTCCAGTTAACACAATTGGCCCGAAAGGGTGAAAAAACAAAGATTCAAGCAAGCTACATTTTTGTCGAAATTGGAACCGGTCAAAACTAGTTCATGATACCGAAATAATCCAATCTATCCTGACAATTCCAACTCTGAGTTTGTTTTACAACCGCAGTTTATAAATAGTCAACCTGTAAAAATTTACACTTCGCTTGCATAGTCTCAAGTTAATTGTAATCATAGAAGCCAATGTCTTCGCTATTATATAAAATTGTTATCGCAAGTTTCATTCTACTGAATTGAATGCAAACATGAGGATGAGGCGTAGGCGAGCTGATTTAACGAGTCCTTGGTGTCAAATTAGGAGGATTTTGTAGTCTGTAATGAAATACATTGCAAAGTTCGTCACCAAAAATTTGCATAGCTATGGTAATCCGAATATGGAGACGTTGACTACAGAATCCTATTATTTGGACACCACTCATCCTCGTGTTTTCAATCAATTCAATAGAAGGAAACCTATGGCAATAATTTTGGCTGATAGTGAAAACATTGGTTTCTACATATATGCCATAGCAATTATGTAAATTGTTATTGCCTTTGCATACAAGCGAAATGGAAATTTTTGCAGGTTGACTATTTATAAACAGCTTTCTGTGGTTATAAAACAAACCTAGAATTGGAATTATCTGGATTGATCGAATTATTTTAGTATCATGAACAAGTTTTTACCGGCTTCAATTTTGATAAAAATATACTCTCTTTGTATCTTGGTTGTTTCGTGCCAATTGTATCAACTAGAGGTACGTTAGCTTGCAACCACACTTGAAGGTTATGTTCAATAGAATGGTATAAAATGGACCTGCTACGAGAACAGAAACTATCAGCATCAATGTTCCATTTCATTTGAAAAGTAAAATCTTGCTCCGTTTAAAAATGCTTAAAGCATCTATCCTTGTCATCTTCATCGTTGGAGGCTTTGTTGCCACAGAAGCTTCGATGCCCAATGAAGCACAGAACAGAATCTGGCCCTTTGGAAGTAAGAAATTTGTCCATCTCTGATTTTGTATAAAATGTTTCCTTATCCTTTAGGCACTTCTTTTGTTCCTTTGGGTCAAATTCTGGCTGGGAAACCCACGGGTGGGCTGCACATTTGTCAGTTAACCGCAAATGCCTGTAATGTGGGATGCATTAATGGGGGAAGGTACCACTCTGCAGTTTAAAGTCCGATTCAAGTGATGCAGAACTAACGATACTTTTTGTCTCAACAGCACTGGTGGATCTTGCCAGACACCTACCTCAGGATGCACCGTTTGCGTCTGTAATTAAATCATTCATTACCCAGTGGCTCCGACCTATTTTCGAATATTGGATTTATTTTTATCCTGTTTATTATTTGGTTTATATTTGGTGGATACCGAGCAATAAACAATTTACAATTTGCAAATCAAACCCGTAACAAAGAAATTGTATGACATCCAGGCGAAGTGTTCTGGAATGCATACGTAGACTCGTAAATTACACGTAAGCTCCCGCTCTGCAAAAGACTCCGGGGTAATAGGAAAATATGCTGAGAATGTACTGGAGGGGTCAAAATTCAGTATTATGTTTGATTTATTTTTGGGAAATTGAGATTTTTAAATTTTATGAACAAATCTCTTGATACAAAATATTGCATTCGCATTCCAACCGTACATAAAAACATTTTTCTGTACTAGACAGCTTATTTGTGACGATTATTACCGAATACTTATATGAAATCCTTCTGTAAAGCATACTATTGACATAAAAACTTATACAAATAGGGCTAATATTCCTTACCTTTTTTCCGTGGGGCATAATGGTTTTACAATAAGTTAAATGTCAAAACTAGTTTTGCGTTAAATTTCATATTACTTAAACCAACAAATGTTTTTATGTGACGTACCGCCATCTCATTTCCTTTTCGAAATAACCTTATAGTGGTAGGGTAGGTTTAAATTGTTTGCCACAAATAAGGTATCTACAGTGCAGCTAGGTAAAAATTGCATTTCTACTAATCCTAAGCTACGGATGCTCTTATGTACCAAATAATTTAACAAATCGTTTTAAACCAAATATGTATATATGAAAAGAACTTTTTATGAGTCGTACTTAACATTTGAAACTTTATCTTAAATTTAATCACCGTACTGGTTTACATACTTGCATAAATATATCTAAAAAAAATGCCAATTCCAAATTAATTATCTTCTGCCTGTAAGGAAGAAATCAACATATGGTACTAATTTTATCTTTCGATTGTGTGCATGCAGTGCACCTGAGTGAAATGATGAATGATTTAATTCGTAAAAAAGAAAAGCTTCAAAAGGCAAAGGAAGCATTCACAACGATCTGTACGTGCACAAGTTTAAAAACAAACCAAAATTAAAACTGACCCCATCGATTCATAAAACTTTGCAACCAAACGATGCTGTCTTCATTATTCTCTCATATTTATCAGAAACTCATCTTGGCTCACTCACTACAAACTGCAATGGCGTACGGCAAATTATTCATTTCTGTTTCTCTAGGTAAGCACAGAATCAAGTCAATAATTTTTGCCATGAAACATTGGTTGCTTTATTGATTTTGTGTATATTTTACAAAACCTTCAGTATTTTGGTTAGATTCGATTAGGCCGACTGATCAACTGTTAACCAACCTCCCAACAATAACATTTATATTTGTACAATAAGAAGTATTAAAGGTTTTTCATGAAAGTTTGTTGATAAATCCATAAATTTCAGTTTTAAAAACGGTGGTCATAAATCCATTATATTTTGTTCACAATATTATCGTTATACGTGTACAGATATGCATGACCAAAAAATAAATTTTTTCTTGTTATTTATTCGATTGATTTTTGGTTTGGTTTTATACGTGCACAAGTTTTGGTCACTGATTTTAAAGAATTATGATATGAAATGATAAAGAAATGAAATGGTATATTTACCAATTATCGAATGTAAAAATAATAAACTCTTGCATCCACTACGAAAACTGTCCTTTTAAGAGTAAGAATTATTCGATTCAACAATGAAATCCACCACTAATTTTAAAATTTGGCTTTTAACAAGATGCAGAATTTTTTAAATGCCTGAATCGTTACAAGATTAGGATTTGTCACAGACATTTTATTTATCGCGCCGATGACCATGTTAA